AAAAAGCTGTGTCAATCTAGTGATCAGAAAATGATCAGAGGAATCACATTTCTATTCAATCGGTCCAACGGATTCATGAACTTTTAGGCTTTCCGGGTCAAGATCCGAATGGCAGCAGGTTTAGCGCTCGCGAATTTCTCCAAGCTTATCAGTGGACATGTTTAACTGATTCGCTGATCACAACGATTGCAACAGTGGCGCGATTGTGTCCAAACACAGGTCCAACAGGACCGGTAGCTCTGTGATAAATCCATTGAAAGGTAGATGTTAACTTGACTACGAAGATGGTCGGAATTGCCGCTAAAATTCACGGTGAAAAACAGTAAGCTCTAAATATTTCGGTACTGTTTGACTCATAAGTCCTACTTGTTCGAACGCCTTTGGTTATATATATATAGAGAGAGAGAGCCGAATGTAACACATCAAGGAAATCGTGGTTGAAAGGGACAATCGATTGATTTGGTGCAACTAATTGATGAATTCGGTCGCATTTTGAGGAAAGGGAACATGCACTGCAAAGCCCGAAAGCACCGCAGATATTTTTGAACACACGTCAGCTTCATCTGTAGTGCGAATCTATCAATCCAATTGAGGATCTTACGGGAGACCTCACCAGCAAAACGCAAGCATATTACTCACTGCTTTATTGCCATCTATGTCTCTGAAGTGCGGAATCGGAATGCGCTTCTCAAAGCAATTGGAAATCTATAACCCGTAGCTGATCAACACTTTTCTAATCCTGCTTGTATCACATTATTTTCACTCACTTTCACGCGACAAGTAACCCATTCTGGTTAACACCTCTTTGTTCTCACTTGCCAATGAGAACGGTTGAATGTGTCATGCTCGTTTCTATTCCTAAAATGTTTACTTCACGTGGGCCATATTGTTTCAAGTTTCTGCCAAATTATTTTTCCGTGTGCTTTAGTACTTCACTCACGGGATGATACTGATCAAGTTTACAGGTTTCTACGTTCCCAACTGATCCTCCGTGTCTCTCAAGTCTGTAACATTATTACTTCAGTCTGATTCGGTGTATCAATTGGGATGAATAGGGCTAAACGAGAGTGGCAGGATTAAACAAGCGCCTATATCACTCTACAATCAGTTTAATTATTAATTTATCATCAAGTTTTCATTTGGAATGACCCTAATAGTCCCATCGTGATAATTTTCAGATGATAATAATGAAGTAACACTATGGGATCTAGCGAGCAGTTACAAAACTAACCCACCACTCATCTGTTATCTCGTGGACTGAATTCTAGCTGGTCGGTTGTTCAACGTATTTCGCTTCTGTTTCCTCCGATGCGAGTTACCCTAAATTGGTTCAAAAAACGCCCCAAATATAAGAAAAAATATTGTCTTCCTACACATCTCTCTTGTTAAACGGACCTCACATTTCTTCGTATCGGAGTGAACGCAATGTACAGTCTGAGGACTGATTTGTGTATAACCAAATCTACCTCTATCTGTGAATTGGTTACACCAACCAGTCAAATTCACTGTATGAACGACAAAATTTGCATTGGTTTAAGATAAGCAGATCTCAAACAATTGAATTAGAAAACGTGTCAATTAGTTCAGGTTGGTATTTGATCTGAACCTTCAAAATGCATTTGTTGCTGCAATACCGGGTGTCACCGAGTCCCGTTCTGAAACTGGACGGTCAGGAATTAGCTGAAGGTGATTACTTCTCGCACTTAGGTAACTGTGTAACCAACGACGGTAACGCAGCAAAGTAGATAGTCACCCGCATTTCCAAGGCTCGAGCGTATGCAGGACTAAAAAACCTGTCGACGATGTGGCGTTTCAATGAAATTGAAAAATCACGTTACAGTACTATCAGTTCTGCTTGACGGTTTTGAGACCTTGAGTTTTTCGGGTAGAAGATATCCGTCGCCTAGTGGTTTTTGACAATCGATACTTGCGTAGTTTCATTCGCGTGGGATGGAGTGATCGGGCTATTAACCTAGAAGTCTTCGAGTGTTTGAGAATGCATTGAACATGAAATCCCTATCCGTCGGTTAGGACACTTTCTGCGTATGTCTAACGGTCACCTACCGCACCACGTCTTATTTGCAGTGGATTCTGCAAACTGGAGCAAGCCGCATAGGGGCTAGCAGTTGGCGTGAAGACGAGGCATAAGTGCACAGAGCGATTAAGTATAGTAGGTGTCTCTTGTGTTCCGTGTGGGGGTTGAAAAGACTCCGTAACTGGATGGTTGGAGACACTGAAGGTCATAGCTGCGAACCGACAGCAATGGCGATCTTGCTGTCACTTCTTATCAAACCGGAATGGTTGAACTAGTATTTTAGCACAGTTGGACTGTGTACTCTGTGTTCACTTTATTTTCCCGTCCCCAAAAATAGTCTCAACCCCCTTACGCATTTTCGCTTTCCTTGTGTGCATTATGGGTTTGGCAACGATCAGTGAAGTTTGCTTCAATGTATTACGCTGTACGATGACGATGACTATTCGAAGAGTTTTAACAGCAACAAATCTATTTTCTATCTACTAGAAAATCTTTTTTTATTGGTAAGAATCCATCAGTGGAGCTAATTCCATGAATTTATGATTATCGTTAAGTTTATGCATCTTCAACATTAGTTTTCATTGTGGTGACTACCAGCATTTACTGGGACAAGGATAACACATAGAACAGTGGCAGTTAGTCGAACGGGTCAACAATTGAAAATCAATTGTGTTTTCCGTGATCATTCAACCTTCGCTCATCGTTTTTCTGCCTTTACTTATGCTGTAGCCTAAGTGTCGGTTGGTCCACTGGTGCTTGTACTAAAGACACGTCCCGACCGGGCTGTTGCAGATTTATCAGATCGGAAAGTGTTTGCTCTAAACTAACTGCTACAGGTAGGAAACAACTGAATCAAGGCACGTCGGCGACAGCCTATTGGTCCCAAAGCCCACAAACAGAATAAGCCTCAATGAAAATTGAGTCAGTGTGTCAACTTGTGTCCGCGCTGATGCATTTAATAGCGAACGGCTTGGAAGTGAGTGCGGGTTTTATCGATATAACGTATCGTTATTCGGATAACTGGCATCCCAGTGACGACCAGGATTAGAAACCTAGATCTAAAGCTTTATGAGTAAAGCGGCATTCATTCGTGTTTACTCCACTTGTTTTCTTTGATTGGGTAATAAAACGCTGTATCCTGTGAGGTTGCCTGACTAAAATGATTACTTTGCATCAAATTTTTAGTCATAGTGATGATGTTTTACTTCTAGACTAAACGTTCGTGTTATCCATTGAATCGTGAGCAATGGGATCAAACGAATCACTTCAGGGTTATCAATACATGGGGAAATTGGGCGGCTACTGTGGGATCTGAAAACTTCCTTCTGGTCGAGATGTCCTCTATTGCTTGAATGTCGGGCTTTGAAATTCAAAAGTGGTAACGTCAATCATATGATAGCACCATGACCCACCTTTCATATTTGCGCACCGGGTGTGGTAGGATCTATGTACGTTGACGACGCGAGCCTGTTGTTGGGTTTCACTTGATTTACGCTTTGGCTAGCTCTTCCTGAGGAATGGTTTCGTGTTGGTCCACGACGTAGGTTCTCATGCGTTGTTTCATACGAACTGAGTCCCATCAGATATGCCTGTATAGTGTCATATTACGATGAGAAACGTGCAATCAAATGTGATTGGCAGATAGTCTTAACAAAACCTTATGAGGTTCATCGCGAAGGCGGAGATGCGTGATAACACGATGCATTTATGAATTATTATACTTAGATGATTGCATACTGTGGTCTACAGGGTGGTCGATAGATAGAATGGTGTGGTGAATAAGTGATGGCTCCCTCAGATCCCAGGAATAATAAGTGGATTAAAATCCAGATGGAGTGAAACTGACACTACAGTTCAAAAAATGAAAAAAATACATTTACACAAGTTGAGATTTGTTAGTGTGCAATGTGATAGAATGTGTCAGAGGTCTCTTAACTCACCCATCAGGGATGCACTTGACTTCCTGCATGCCCAGAAATTAATGTTAAACGATTACAATGTAAATCACAACCTATCTCAATGTCACTATTATGAAAAAGTATCGAGAGGAACTTCTGAAATGATTTAGAGATACAGTACAGACAGTATTTCGTATTCGTTATGACAGATGCAACCCAACTTCGTTATATGTTCCCAATCTATTTGTGGCACTAATCAAATATTATAATAATGAACCAACAGTAAAACGTCAGTCTCTGGGTCCTAGAGTTATTTGTATATTATTATTATCATATTATTTATTTTACGACTAGGTCAATCAAATGTCAGTGCGCATATAGAGTTCGTGATTTCATTTATGATAAGTTCTATTTGTTTGAACGGTCAAATTTAATGCAAACTGATTCGGCAATTAGTGATCTATGTTTCGTTTTTTATTCAGACTCCTTTATCTATTTACAGATGGGAAGTATCAACTCGTGACCGTCTACTGTTTGGTAATTTATGTTTCTCTCATAGGAATCTACAAACTGCCCTCAACACAGCTATCAGTCTCCCATTTGAAAATTTTTTCATCAAATTGGAGTGTTTCTGAAATCTCTGGATAGGTTTGACACATGGATAGGGATAAATTCTTGAATTTATTTGGTAATTCAGTACAATATTGGGTTAGTGAGGTGTAAATTTTCTTTTCAGTGATGATAGTATCCTTGGAACTCAATCTTGACAGCTTGGATTAGCTTAGTGTGATCCTAAATTTGGTGATTATTCACCGGGTATTTTATAACGGATGTCCGTATTCAGCGCATTTGCTGTCTGCACATACCGCGCTTGGCCTGGCGAACTGGTGTATCGATTTTTGTTTTAAACCATGTGTTCGATCAGTTTCATTCCTCACATTGTAGTCAAATGAATAACGCACATTTGCCTCTCAGGTTATGGCTTCGGAAGTAAATTTTTCGCATTTGTTTCGCATTTCTGGTTCCAGGGACATAAGCTGACGTTCACCCTACTGCTTACTGTTTTTATGACATGCTTCGGTTCATCGTTTCTTATCGGATACAATCTGGGTATTCTGAATCTACCTGCTCCGGTGAGTTCTGTGGTCTTGTTTGTTTATAAACTTTAATAAGTGATTAAATTGGGAATCTGGGAAATATCGC